CCTCCTCCTCACTTGCCCTCTGTGATAGCCTCTATCTTTGCTTATATTTGTGAACTATGAACTGCTGCTTGTTGTGCTGATCATCCCCCACTTTGACTATGGGGGTGTGTCAAAATGTGTCACATGTCTAGTCTGCAGTGGGGTACTCTATAGTGAGTACAGCCCGATTAGGGTTTGCTATATGTACTGCCCTGCTTACAAGTGCAACCCCTCTTTCGTGTTCTATCTTTCTGTCCAGCATTTCTGACGAATTCCAGGCTCATGAGAAGCTGTACAAGCCTCGAAAAAATCCTCCTACCCCCCAGGTGAAGTTGGAAAGTGATGAGTCAGGTATAGGAAATAGGGATGGTAATATCTTTGATGTACCCTATGATCCTATCAATGAGACCCTCTTTGGCTACTCAGCGCAGCAGGAACCACTTATCCTTGAGGTGTTTTGCAAAGGACGACGCCTCCAGGAACTGGTGGACAGCGGTGCATCTCACTCGGTGTGTGACCACGGGACGTTGGAGAAAATCGGAGAAACTTCGAGACCAAGTTCTCGGCAATAATGGTGGACGGTACAAAACTTCCCATCCACGGCAAAGCATCACTGCAGCTGCACATAGGGGCGCTGAGGTGGAAACCGACGTTGCCGATCACGAACATCAAGGGGTTAGATTTCATCCTAGGACGAGATTTCCGGAAGCGGTTCAACCCCGAGCTCGACTGGGTCAACAGGAAGGTGTGCATCTACAACAACGGGAAACGAGTGGAGCTGCGAAGCTGGGCGGATACAGGAAACGTTCCTGAAATGACATTGGCACGGTTCGAACAGGGAACAAGGTGCGAAATCCGTCTCACGTGCACCATACCGACCGAGTCCGACCGAACTGACAGACATGAAGAAGCTGATAGAGTACCTATTGGACAAACAACTGATCCGCCCATCCACCTCTCCCTACGGTGCACCAGTTCTTTTCACTCCAAAACCAGACGGTAGTTTACGGATGTGCATCGACTACCGCGCACTGAATAAACAGACAGTCAAAAACATATATCCCATAACGCGCATAGACGACCTGCTGGACCAACTGCGTGGTGCAATAGTCTTCTCGAAGCTGGACCTATGGTCGGGTTACTGGCAGATCAAGATGGCGGACAACTCGATCCACAAGACGGCGTTCCGTACCAGATACGGCTCCTACGAATAATTAGTGATGTTGTTCGGACTCTGCAACAGCAACGATTCATGCGGAGATTAACCATATCCTACGGCCCCTGCTGGACGATTGCATGGTTGTGTAGCTGGACGACATTCTCATCTACTCCAAGAACCTGAAGGAGCACGTGGAGCATCTACGGAAGGTGTTCAAGATCCTGCGGAAAAACAAGTTCTACGTGAAGCTGTCGAAGAGCGACTTCGCCCTGAAGAAGGTGCAGTCTCTCGGGCACATGGTGAGTGCCGAGGGCGTACACGTGGACCCGCGGAAGATAGAAGCCGTCAAGAAGTAGAAAGTACCGGAGAACGTTAAGGAGTTGCAGCAGTTCCTAGGCTTCGCCAACTACTACAACAGGTTCGTGCCGCAGTACGCTAAGATAGCAGCGCCACTGACCGACCTACTGAAAAAAGGATACGCCCTACAAATGGGATACTCCTCATTAGCAAGCCATGGAGCAGCTACAGACAGCACTGACTACAGCACCAGTACTCATCTTACCGGAACCAAATAAGGATTACGTGGTGGAAGCAGATGCTAGTGACCAGGCAGTCAGAGCAATACTGATGCAGGATCACGGACGCGGTTTGCAGCCCATTGCCTACCTCAGTAAGAAGCTACATGGAGCAGAACTGAACCACCCCATCCATGACAAGGAAGCCTTAGCGATAGTCATAGCCTTCAAGGCGTGGAGGTGTTACCTAGAGGGAGCCAAGACTACAATCTATACTGGCCGCTGCAGCCTCAAATACCTGAAGTCGCAGCCGACGCTCTCACGAGGACAGGTGCGGTGGGTGGACTTCCTCGAAACTCACTTCCACTACGACATCGTCTACAAGCCCGGGCTACACAACAGGACAGAGGCATTAAGCCGCCCCGGTCATGTAGCAGGCATCCAGCTCGACGGGATGAACCCTCTGCTCAAGGGTCTATTCCAACATGGTTACTCCGTGGATGCAGAGATTTCTACTGCAGAGATACAGAAGCTGTTATAGTGGGAGAAAGACTTAGCTGTAAGGAAGGGCACAGGGATTTGGGTACCGAATTATGCCCCGCTCCAACAGATCCTACTGGAGGAGTTTCACGACGTACCATACGCGGGACATTTCGAGAGCAACAAGACGTTAGCAGGGATGGCGAAGTATTACTACTGGCCCGGGATGGCAGCAGACGTGCAGCAGTTCGTCACCTCATGCGACACGTGCCAGCGGATGAATTGTAGCAAGCAGAAAAAAGCAAGGTTACTTCAGCCTCTACCCGTACCGGAGCAGCCATGGCAGGTCGTTAGCCTCGACTTCATCACGGGACTTCCTTCGACCTCACGAGGGCATGACACTATACTCGTGGTGATCGGCAAGTTCTCCAAATGGGTCAATTCATCCCGACCAACGCCACAGCTACAGCTGAAGCAATTGCTCGCCTCTTCTTCAATCGCATCATCACCATCAACGGCATCACCACTACACTCATCTCATACAGAGACCCAAAATTCACCAGTAAGTTCTGGATGGAGCTCATGGGATTATCGGGGACTAAGCTTGCAATGTCTTCAGCATACCATCCCCAGAATGACGGACAGACGGAGCGACTCAATCAGGTGGTTGAACAATTACTGCGCACAGCTTGTAAATACGACATCAGCCACCGGGACACACAGTTACCGACCTTAGAGTTAGCTTACAACAACGCGTCGCATGCGGCCATAGGGAAAACTCCTTTCTTCCTGTGTTACGGACGGGAACCACTTACACCACAGCAGCCAACCACATCGGTACACGTCCAAGCCGCACATGACTTCGTCACCACTATGCAGCAGCTATGGGAGAAGACTCAGCGACGTCTCACCACGATGCAGAACTCCCAGAAGCAGTATGCCGATCTCCAGCGACGAGATCACTCAGTAGCAGTCGGAGATCAGGTGCTTCTTGACACGCGCAACTTGAACCTGTCTCACCTATCATCCAAGTTCCGGCCTCGCTTCTGTCGTCCTTTTCTCGTTGAGGCACATGTGACACCAGTTACATTCCGTTTGCGCTTACCTACTCTTTGGAAGCTTCACAACGCTTCCCATGTTCAGCTACTAAACCCTAAACCCTAAACCCTATAGTTATAGCACCGAACCAGGTTACGTGTACCGAATCCAAGCCTATTCGGTTTCCACCGAATTGCTTTCTACTGAGTTTGGAAAGGTTCTATTCGGGACGCTTCGCGACCCTCAGAACATTCGCGTTACACCTGGGTAACTGGCCTTGTGTTGAGACTATATATAGCCTCGTGTTGTACCCAGTTGAATCATTCAATTCAAACTCTCTTTCCTGAGCTCGATCCTAGATCCTTACAATCTCCAGGCGCTTGGCCACAGGAGCTCGTCTTGCTGCCCCGTTCTCCCTAACACGTAAATCTCTCCGCAACTTAGGGTACAGCCAGAAAGACGTCAAGACTGCTTGTGGATCATACACAAACTTGCCAAGCTTTTCCAGAAGTTGCGCTCAAACCTTCTTTTGGGGTAGTGTGCTCTTTCATCCATGTGAAGAGTACCACTCTTGAACACAGCCAAAGATCGCCAATGCAAGTGGCATCTGCGACCTTTATTGTTGGTCGCTTTGCATCAATCAAATCTTTGATGAACTTATGTGCCAATGCTCGGCCCTTATGCCACACGTCCTTCCGGTGAGCAATTCCTAATCCCTCAATCCCTGTCTTGAATGATCCCCCGTCATCAGAAATGATCCCCTTGACCTAGAAACACATCGCCCTTAACTGGTTAAGACCGGATTTGAAAGCACGCAGCTCAAAGCTGTTGAAGAAACTTTCTCTACTGCCTTCCACTTTGTCACCACAAGGGCTATTTTGTGGGTGATTGGGTCAATGAAGGAAACGGTGCACCATTCAGCTTCACGTGGATGAGACCAGCGTCCGTCCACGCACAACCACTCCTCTAGAATAGCTCTCTTGCACATTTCTGCTCGAACCTCAGCCATTGACTTCTCTGCTCTCGTCTCTATTGCCTTCCACAACTCGAGGGGCCCTCTCATGTACCTATAGAACGCCTGTCTTCCAATACAAGGGAGGCCAAAGGAGCGACTTACTTCCCATAATTGTTGGTAACCAATGCCCGCCATCACAAACTAAGCTTTTTTTGGGGAAAGAAAAGGGAGGATTGAGGGCCCTTTTTACTCCCCTTACCTGTTGTGTGGCCTCTCTTTGTGGACCAAAAATGCTCGACTTTGCTGCACTTGTCAGACGCCCATTCAAGGTAAAATCATGCCCAGACTTGCTTCCAGGACTTGAGGACCATTTTTCCCTTGCATCCAGAACATGTGCTGCAGCATACGCCCAATGTGCTCAAAAAACATATGAGCCGCCGAGGGTCTAGCAAGCATACCAATCCATTGGGCATTGGACGCATGGTTGAGGGAAGTGGGTTGTCCGATGACACCTCTGGTACTTTGTCCATCTGCTCTCCTCTCCTGCTAATAGATGCAAAGTATGGAAAGAACACCAAGGTGCAAATCATGAATCACAGTCCATCGCAATACAAACAAATGCAATACATATACGGACACTTCATCTCTTTGGTGTAGTGGTATGAAAGATATGAAACCCCCCTACCTAGTATGTGTTTCTGTCAAATGTTATAGCCTCTAGTGGGTTATGCTATATGGGGTACAAACAGTTAGGGTTAGGTATTTGTACCCCAACCCAATCAATCCAACCATTCCGATGTTTTCAGTTTGTGACATGGTATCAGCAGTAGGTTCGCCGTTCCTAGTCCACACCTAGTCTCCGCCGTTCCTAGACTTAGGCCGCCTCTAGCCTTGGCGTGCCCCGCCCTCCCCGGTCTGCCCTAAGCGCGCTAGCCAGCAGGCCCGCCAGCGCCCCGCCAGCGCGCACGCCAGCACGCCCCGCCAGCGCACACGCCATCGTGCACGCCAGCGCGCCCCGCCAACACGCACGCCAGCGCGCCCCGCCAGCGTGCACGCCAGCGCGCACGCCAGCGCGCCCCGCTAGCGCGCACGCCAGCGCGCCCGCCAGCGTGCCACACCAGCGCGCACGCCAGCGCGCCACGCCACCCCGCCCGCCCGTCCGCCCTCCGTGCCGCCTGCCGGCCAGCGCGCCGTGCCACCCGCCAGCCAGTGCGCCGCGCCGCCCGCCTGCCCGCCTGCACGCCTGCCCACACGCCACTGACTGTCTCACCCTCGTGCGGCTGGCAGCCGCGCTCTCTCACTTTCACCTCCCGAGTACTTCGCTTTGACCCTGAGGGGAGACCGATTGACTTTAGTACGTGGCTTACGCAGGCGCAGTGCCACTACGTGGCTTACGCAGGCGCAGTGCCACCTTAAGAGCCAGCGGCAGGATGGCGTGCACCTGTTCGCACACGCGTCCGGTACTCAGACCGCCCCTCCACAGCCTAACCTGCTGCCCACTACCCCACCGCCTACTCCTGAGCAGCAGGCCGAATACCAGTGCCAGTTCCTCGCTCGCGACGTGTGGGAGTCTCGTGGCGCCGCTGCCTGCCTCGCCCTGACCGACCTTCTCCCACCGACAGAGGCGGTCCACTTCACTCAGGTCGAGTCTGCCACCGATTTATATTAGGCCATTGTTGCTCGCTACTCCACTCCCTCCTCTGCCTCCCTCAGTCGCCTCCTCGTACCCTTTATCTACCCTGACCTCGCCTCCTTTGAGACTGTTTCCGACCTCGCTACCCACCTTCGCTCCCTTGACGCTCGCTTTCACGCTGCTTGCACTGAGGACCAGCTTGCCCTTGCCCCGCCCCCTATGTGGCTCACTATTCACTGGCTAGTCACTCGCCTCCCTGACCGCCTAGCCACAGCCCGTGATGCGCTTCTTCTGAAGCACCCCACTGAGCTTACCATCGATCTTCTTGATCCCGACATGCCCCTGCTCCTCCGGTACCCCCCCCTGTTCCCGCTCCGTCTGGTTTGTCCCATGCTTCCCCCCCCCCCCCCCCCCCCCCCCCCCTTGGTACCCCCCCAGGTCTCTCCTCCTTCCCCATAGTCGTCCTCACAGCCTCCGCAGCAGCCATCAGCGCTTCCTTTACCGGCCAGTGCGGACTCTGAGGGTGTTGGTGCTCGAGGTGAGGGCTCTAGCAGTGCTCGCTCTGGGGGTGCTGGCGTTGGAGCTGTTCGTGCACCTACAGGAGCCGACAGTTCTGGGGGTGTTAACGTTGGCGTTGAGCATGCACTTGCCGCAGCTGCCCGTTCCGAGGGTGCTGGAGCTGGTAGAGGTGCCAGAGCTGGTGGTGTTTCTGGAGCTAGAGAGTCTAGGGCTGGTGCTGGTGCCACTGGAGGCACCACGACTGGGGGTGCGGATACACCTCCTACAGGTGCTGGTCGTGCTGCCGCAGGAAGTACTCACTCTGGGGGTGCTCAGCCGGCTACTGTCGAGGGCAGAGCCGGTTCTTCATCTTCTTCTTCTTCTTCTTCTTCTTCTTCTTCTTCTTCTTCTTCTTCTTCTTCTTCTTCTTCTTCTTCTTCTTCTTCTTCTTCTTCTTCTTCTTCTTCTTCTTCTTCTTCTTCTTCGTCTTTTGACAGCACTCCTCCTCACCCCTACCCGATTCGGTACCAGGCCCTTCTTCGTCTTGAGCGTGAGGAGCAGCAGCGTTTGGAGCGTGAGAGGCTGGAGGTTCAGCAGCGGGTGGAGCGTGAGAGGTTGGAGTTGCAGCGGGAGCAGCAGCAGCAGCAGCCGCCGCCGCCGCCGCAGCAGCAGCAGCAGCAGCAGCAGCAGCAGCAGCAGCAGCAGCAGCAGCAGCCGCAGCAGCCTCCGGCCCCTGTTTCTGGCCTTCGGACCCTTGGTCTCCCCTTCTCTCCTCTTGTGTTCGGTCCTACATTTCCTCCTCCGGACTCAGCTCCGGCTGTGTTCCCTCGTTCTTAGTCTCCTCCGTCTCCCCCTCCTCTCGCCCACACTTGGGCCTCTCGTCCTCCTCGTGCTCGTCCCTCGTCACCTGACACTGACCTCCCTACCATTTAGTCCTCCTCGTCCTCCTCCGTCTGTTCTTCCTCGTCCTCCTGAGTCGTCCCTCACTGCCTCCGTGTCTACTTCGGTCACTGACTACTACCGCACGTACCGCCCCACTCTCTCTCGTGTTCTCGCCTCTCTTGTTACAGACCCTCGTGCCTCTCCTTCCTCCGTCGCGGTCTTCACTGCCGCTGTCACTGACTTTACTGCGACGCGTCGCCTTGAATACGCCACTCGTGTTGTGGCCGCTCCTCCTGTCCGTCCTCTGTCTGCCGGGGGTGAGTCTGCCCTTGGCTGTGACGTCCTAGAGGACAGACTGTTTGAGCTAGAGTTCCTGGCAGCTGCTTCGCCTCATCTCTGTGCCATGCTCCTCGCTCCTGAGGGAGACCCCGACGCTCCTGACATACCTACTCCTCGCACTTACGCTGAGGCAGTGTCAGGGCCTTAGGCCTCTCACTGGAGAGCTGCCATGGACGCAGAGATGGCCTCCTACAGGTCCACAGGCACTTACGTTGACGAGGTTCCCCCCCCAGGGGCGAACATAGTTGACGGCATGTGGATCTTCAAGGTGAAGCGGTTGCCGGGATCTCCCCCAGTCTTCAAGGCACGCTACATGGCTAGAGGGTTCAGTCAGCGCGAGGGGGTTGACTTCTTTCAGACCTTCGCGCCCACCCTGAAGATGACCACTCTTCAGGTGTTACTTCACGTAGCGGCACAGAGGGACTACGAGCTACACTCCCTCGAATTCTCCACCGCCTTCCTGCAGGGAAGCCTACACGAGGAGATCTGGCTGCGTCGTCCTCTGGGCGTCACTGGCACCTTCCCACCTGGGACCCAGTGGAGCCTCAGACGACCGGTCTACGGTCTCCGCCAGGCACCCCGTGAGTGGCACGACACTCTCCGCTCTACTCTGTCCGACCTCGGATTTGAGCCGTCTTCCGCCGACCCGTCGCTGTTTGTTCGTCGTCGGCGCACACCTTTCTTCGTTCTGGTCTACGTTGACGACTTGGTTTTTGCCACAGCCGACACAGTTGCACTGGCGGAGGTGAAGTCCGAACTGCAGAAGAGACACACCTGCACTGACCTTGGGGAACTGCGCCGCTACCTTGGCCTGCAGATCTCCAGGGACAGAGCCGCTCGCACCATCACTCTGACTCAGTCACACATGGTGCAGCAGGTCCTTTAGCTGTTCGGGCTTCAGCACTCTTCTCCTACACCCACCCCTCTTGCTGTAGACCACAGAATAACTAGGCCTTTTTCTAACGAGCCGTTCGAGCCCAGTGGTCCCTACGCAGAGCTGGTAGGCTGCCTCATGTACCTGATGACGTGCACTCGCCCGGACCTCGCCTTCCCTCTTAGTATCCTTTCTTGCTTTGTTGCGACTGGGAGACACCGTCCTGTTCACTAGACGGCGGCTAAGAGGGTGGCGAAGTACCTCGGCATGACATCAGACATGGGGCTTGTACTTGGAGGGACACAGCCAGTTGTACTCACCGATCACTGCGACTCCTTGTACGCCAACGACGTTGAGACTCAGAGGTCTACGCAGGGTTACTGTTTCAGTCTGGGCTCTGGAGTTGTTTCGTGGAGGTCTACTCGGTCCTCCTCTGTTGCGACTTCTACCGCAGAGGCCGAGATCTACGCTGGAGCCCTTGCTGCACAGGAGCTATGCTGGTTGACCTTTTTGCTCACTGACCTTGGTGAGCGGCCGAGCTCTGCACCGACCTTGTTTGCTGACAACAAGGCGATGATTCTCCTGTGTCGTGAGCCTCGACTGGAGAGCAGAGTGAAGCACATCGACGTCAGGTACTTCCTCCTTCGAGAGTTGCAGAGACGCGGTCAGGCATGTCTGGACTTCGTGGCCTCCGAGGCCAACACTGCAGACATCTTCACCAAGGCCCTTCAGCCTTGTGACCACCGCCGGTTTTGTCTACAGTTAGGCCTCGTTGAGACTGGGTCTAGTAGACTGCAGTAGTGAGTTCTTGCCTCTTGTTTGTTTGTACCATATATATTAGCTTGTACATTCTTGAACTGGCCTTGTGGCCTCTTGTTTGTGCTCAGACTGTGTGGTGACGTTGTGATCCACCCTGAGCTTTGTTTTCTCTCTTGCTTGTGACTGGTCTTGTGACCTTAGGTTGCGTTTTGTTGCTTGGCATTCCCCACTTAGGCTATGGGGGTGTGTCAAATGTTATAGCCTCTAGTGGGTTATGCTATATGGGGTACAAACAGTTAGGGTTAGGTATTTGTACCGCAACCCAATCAATCCAACCATTCCGCTGTTTTCAGTTTGTGACAGTTTCTTCACTAGTCGGGCCTGGCGTACAACCGCATGCTGTTGCTCCATTGGTTGAGGTGTTTCCTGAGGGCCCACCACCAGCCTGGCATTCGCCAACCACCACATCACCACCAGCCTGTTGAAGTCCCCCACTCCCATCTCCAATCCCCTCCAAAACACCGCCCACATCTGTCAATGCTATCGGTGTTGCATGGCTGTTCATGACATGCTCTTCGATGTTCCCCTCGAGCGGCTCTTCACCGTTAGCCTCGACATGTGCACTTGCAAATGCAATGCATTTGTCAATCCCGATCAGCTGTTGTGATGATGTTATTGCTGGGTTTACCAGCTGCTGGTCGTCCACCTCATTTTCGCCCATATTGCAAGGTCTTACCTTAAGCCTTTAAAGCCTCGTAGTTCACACCCTTTCTTGATCCTCCGTGATGAAACCCCTTATCCGGTGTTACCCGCCCCTTTTCATCTTCCTTGTACATCGGTATTTGATACTCAAAGTCAGGTGCATAATGGGGGCTCCTTTTCAATATCTCCTTCACGGGCTCCCCACCCCCCTTGCTCTTTCTTTAATTTTTACTCCACTGTGCATCAAGGTGGAGTTGTGCTGTGATGCGGGCACCGTCTCCCCCGGTTCCTGACGTTTGAGTACCACAATAAAGGGGGAGGGTGGCTTGGTGGGGGTGAGGGCACGGTGGTTTCAAGCAGCATCACAACACCTGCAGCAGCACTCAGGCGCTGGTTTTCATGCTCCACTTGCAAGCAGCAACATGAGCTCTGGTTTATACCTCCTATTGCAAGGCGGGGAGGTAACCACTGGTTTCATGCTCCGCTTGCAAGTAGCAATATGAGCTCTGGTTTCATGCTCCGCTTGCAAGCAGCAATGAGAGCTCTAGTTTATACACTCACATTTCTTGCAAGCATCCATCTCAATCTGGTCTATACACTTCCTAAGCCCCCTCACACGAAGTGGGAGACCAACGACCCACCCACCTGCTTGTTCCGCAGCAGCAAACATTTTCGCCACAGCTTCTCCAGCCTCCGATGCGAGCACATAGAGCATCTCAATAGCACTTGCGTCATAATTTCCTCCTCTAAGAGCTGTCAACCCACAGCGCATCATCGCCATAAGAATCAGCATATGCGTTTTGATGGTCACGTTATGTTACTTTATTGTATCCAAGATGGGTTGAAGCACGGTGGTCTGGAGTCGCATGCATGATTCGTGGCATTGGATGCATCTGTCTCCACATCCACCTGGAGTGTCTTTATAATGCGTTTTGGGATGTGGATTTCTCGTGGAATTTGGGATGGTGCAGAGGAGAGACAAATGGGTTTGATAAGAGGAGAGCAAAGGGGAGACTGGTGGAGCAGATGAGAGATGAGGGGAGGGAACACTAGTAAGGGGAGGAAGGTGAGCGCGGAGGGGAGGAATGTGAGCGTGGAGGGGAGGAATGTGAGCGCGGAGGGGAGGGATTTGAGTGCGGAGGGGGAGAGGAGGAATGTGAGCACGGAGGGGAGGAATGCGAGCGTGGAGGGGAGGAATGCGAGCGTGGAGGGGAGGAATGCGAGTGAGGAGGGGGAGGGGAGGAATGTAGGCGCGGAGGGGAGGAATGTGAGCACGGAGGGGGAGAAGAGGAATGTGAGTGCGGAAGGGAGGAATGTGAGCACGAAGGGGAGGAATGTGAGTGCGGAGGGGGAGAAGAGGAATGTGAGTGCGGAAGGGAGGAATGTGAGCACGAAGGGGAGGAATGTGAGTGCGGAGGGAAGGAATGTGAGCGCGGAGGGGAGGAATGGGAGCGCGGAGGGGAGGAATGTGAGCGCGGAGGGGAGGAATGTGAGCGTAGAGGGGAAGAATGTGAGCGCGGAGGGGAGGAATGGGTGCGTGGAGGGAGAAGGAGGGAATGTGAGCGCGGAGGAGAGGAATGTGAGTGTGGAGGGGAGGAATGCGAGTGTGGAGGGGTAGAGGAGGAATGTGAGCACGGAAGGGAGGAATGTGAGTGTGGTGGGGAGGAATGCGAGTGTGGAGGGGAAGGGGAGGAATGCGAGCGCGGAGGGGGAGAGGAGGAATGTGAGCGCGGAAGGGAGGAATGTGAGCGCGGAGGGGAGGAATGTGAGTGCGGAGGGGAGGAATGTGAGCGCGGAGGGGAGGAATGTGAGCGCGGAGGGGAGGAATGGGTGCGTGAAGGGGGAAGGAGGGAATGTGAGCATGGAGGAGAGGAATGTGAGCGCGGAGGGTAGGAATTGCGAACACGGAGGGGGAAGGGAGGAATGTGAGCACGGAGGGCAGGAATGCGAGCGCGGAGGGGAGGAGTGGGGGCGTGGAGGGGGAAGGAAGGAATGTGAGCGCTGAGGGGAGGAATGTGAGCGCGGAGGGAAGGAACGTGAGCGCGCAGAGGAGGAATGTGAGCGCGGAGGGGAGGAATCATGTGAGCGCGGAGGGGAGGAATGTGAGCGCGGAGGGTATGAATGCGGACGCGGAGGGGGGAGGGAGGAATGTGTGCGCAGAGAGGAGGAATGCGAGCGTGGAGGGGAGGAATGCGAGCGAGGAGGGGAGGAATGTTAGCGGGTGCGACGGTGTCCCACTCCAAGGCATGACGGGCCAACAAGGGGGGACGCGGTGGTGGCACAGGTCTTTGCGTAGGCTATGCAGCATTGACGCTCGTACGGATACTGTTTTTTCTTCGAATGTCTAGTCCTTGTTCGTCGCATCAATCCGACAGAATGCGGTCAAGACTATCCACTGACTTGCTATGCCTTACATTGCGCCTTCTGTTACGGCGACAAGACCTCATTGCAGGCGACCCGGCGAATGTGGAGGGTGGGTAGTTACGGTACTATCCTATGCAATATTGCTCCTCCTAAGCGTTATTATGTCCATGTAGGCTTCCGTGAAATGTCTGCGAGTGATGCACGAGCATATGCTGCTGGAGGTGAATGAGCTTGCCTTAATTGCCGCTAGCGTGAGATTCCGTATTTACCCGGCTAATGGACCCCCCAAAGTTATAGCCCCCCGGGTCGTTAAATGGGGGCGGGTATAATGCTATCTCCACTTTCGTATTAGACCCCCCTTTTTGTAATGCATTCAAAATTAGACCCCCCTTAGTGCTGAAAGCTCAAATTCCACGAAACTGTAGCGAGACACAGCATATTAGGGTAGTGAAATTTACTGATTTGACTGGATTACTGACCACGTGCCGGTCTCGCGTCAGCGCGTGGTCAATTTTCTCATGACGCGATATCATAATGGTGACATGTGATGTCATAAAAGAGTGTTTGACATGACTTAAAAAAAAAATATATATATATATATATATATATATACATATATATATGGTGGTGGGCTGGCGATTCTTTCCGTGGTTGAGGTCGCCCGAAGTCGCAGAATAGGCTTTTTAGGCTGGTTTGGTGATGTGACGAATCAACATGCATCACAAACCAACCTGTCACTTCGGTGATGTAAGGATTTACAAATCCTTACTAAGGCACTCGTTAGCAAGGCCATTCCGAGGGTCACGCGACGAACCTGTCTTGCCTATTTCGTCGCACCGAACCACCCCCGAGTCGCCTCCGCACCAATCGCAACCATCACCGAGCCATCATCGCCCGACCTCCCCGCCTAGCTAGGACTTCCCCTATTTAGGGCGCGTCCCCTCCCTCGATCGATCGCAAGATCGCCGTGAAAAACCAATCGGACACACTGATCGCAGGATTGGGGTGGGATTGGTAGGAGGTGACAGTCGCGGATCGATCCCGAGCCCTGGGTGACAGGATCGAAAATACAAGGGGGAAAAACCCTCGATCCATCAAAAGCCGAGATCGGTGTGGCCACTAAGGCACATCGATCGTCAACAGCGGAGGTGACAAGATCGTTGGGCACCATTTACTGTACATTCGTAAGCCATCTCGAAATCAGGTTACCGTGTCAATTGCGACACTGTACCGTCATCGCCCGGATATAAGACATATATGTCTTATCTCATACACAAAAAAAAATGCTTGGGTTATCTTGTATTTGGGGAGGTTTTGGGTGTCATAAGTCTTATAAATGGAAACTTTTTTAAACTACTTAAAAATATTTTCACACATCTTGAAAAGAGTTTCTCATTATGAGTGTGGATGTTGCGAAGGTGCCACTTCGGCAACCATTGTTCAGGGCGCCACGTCATGGAGAATACTTGCAGAGGCAAATTTGGTAGTACGTGAGTTAGCACGTGGCAGAATTCGCGTGTCGCAAGGGTAAAAATGTACGCGGTACTTCATTCTTCACTATAATATATTGCAGTTTCGATTATAAGACACATATGTCTTAGCTCGTACACACAAATAGGTGTCTTATAATGAGGCTAGCCTGTTTATAAGAGACACCCGTATAATAGACAACCCCTGTCTACTATTCAACACTGTCTTATATCCGGGTGATGACGGTAGGTGTCCCTCGATCGATCGAGGGCAGGATCGATCGAAGGAGGGGACGCGCCTTTAGTCTCGACACTTTCCTTAGATCGTGATTCAGTAATCAATCATTCTAGTTATTCGTTATTCTGCGCATTCTGTGTCAGAATGTAATATCCTTATATAATTGCATGTTTAGTGTAGTATCACCCATCTTAGGTGGTCTGCCTCCCTTCACCACCTTCCCTGTTCTATATATTGTTCTCTCATCCAATAGTGCAACCCCGCTTCTTTGGCCAACTATCTCTCTTCCCAAACCCTACCTCCTAGCTACTATTCTAGCACTCTGCAAGTTCATTCATAACAGGTGCAAATAACATGGTAACCAGCAGGCCTCACGTTTTCAGAGTAAATTTCTCTGTTTCTCTGAAAATCAGAGTCATTTTTGAAAGTAACTCTGTACCCGCTGGGTAATTTTTTTGGGACTTCCGATTTCTCTGATTTGTCAGAGTTATGCTGTAGTTTACTCTGAGGCCTCTGGGTTTTTTTTTCGGGTACCAAATTTACTCTGTATAGGGAATACCTGCCGGCCCCCCCTCCCCCGCCCCCCCTCCCCTCCCCACCTCCCCCTGCGTTTAGCGGGTTTTCCCCGAATCGTCGAGATCATTCTCCTGATTTCTGTCGTGTGTTGGCGGCAATATGAGCACTGATTGGCTACCGTAGTTTGACAACTTTCCCAACCAGCGCACGATGCCAGCCAGTCCCCTCTCTCTTTATGTCTGAAGTGAACGTCGACGTTTCCCGACGAAACTTTGAGGGACGTCGAGGAATCCTGACGGTCGGAACGCTCAATCCGAGGGTTGAGATTCGCCAGCATTCCCCGACGAAACTGTACATCCGTCGACATTTCACTTCAGACACGCTCTTTGGGGGTGTCCGAAGTGAAACGTCGACATCCGTGGACATCCGTTTGGGGATGTCGGTAAATCCTGACGGTTGGAACTGTCGATCCGAGGGATGACATTTACCGACATCCAGCGACATCTATTGACGTTTCACTTCGGACACGCCCTTAGTCAGATTATCAGTGCCGCCAACACCTCACTCTGAAACATCGCAGTGAGGGGGGAAACGTGGGCGACGCGGAAATGCAAGTACAAAAGGCGTAACAAAAACCTATTAAGGTCATGGTACACCAAACTTAACTAACATCAGAGTAGAGAAAAATATTACTCTGACGTGCCTGGGTTTTTTTTTGAAAGTATAGGGTTACTCTGACAAATCAGAGTAAGGCGCAGGAACAACCCTAGATTTCAGAGTTGGGAAAAAAACTACTCTGGAAATCAGAGTACCTAAAATCCAAAAATAGGCCCTGGTAACCAGCCGTCAAGTGTTTTGCAGTTGACCACAATTTCCGGTACTTGAGATCCTGGCTATAATCAGTACAAAATACGTTAAGGCTGATAAAGAAGCACATGAGAAATGCCGAATCACCTTGTCAATCAAGGCTCCGATTGCATGGCCCCTCAAACAATGACCGACTACTGGAAACGCTACAGACTGACACTGATGTTTCAGTGTAAAAGGTGCAATCAGCAGTGCAAAAAAAGAAAAAAAAATCAAGTGTGCGTGCCCTGCAAGAATCAATTGGGGGGGCTAACCCTAAATGCAATACTCTGGTTCAGCATGTGCCTGTGAAGGTTGCGCAGGTCCCAACGCCGGTGATCCCACATAAGCTCCTCCCCATCCTTCCCTCACATAATAAGCACCCTCCATACTTCCCCAGCTCTCCGCCCTCCTCCTCCTGCCTCCCATTTTCCCATCTTTCCTCCTCGGCCGTGCGTCGCCCGTCACTCCCTCCTCCACTCGCCCACCGGTGTCAGCCTCACCGGTAACACCAGCAGCGCTTGTGCCACTGAGAGGGCTCAAGGGGCTCCTCCCAATGTGCGGGGCACGCCGCACATAAGCTCCTGTTGATCCCCCCCCAGCAGACGCCCGAGGGGAGCGAGCGGGTGAGGAACTAGCAGAGCCACGTGGGGAGGATTTTGGTGAGCTGCTGACCGACCCTGCTGGTGAGCTGCTCTTGCTGTTGCACTGCTCTCCTGCCCTCCGCACGCTGCTACTTCCTCTGCAGCTGCTGCCGCTGCCGCTGCCGTTCCCACTGCTGCCAGGCACATGATCGCTTTTAGGCAGGCTATGTCCGAAATGGAGGGCAGTTTGGTGAGCATGGCGGGTTGCTTGACTGGAGGACACGGAAGGGGAGCGAGGTTTGAGGGGATGGGAGGCTTGAAGGAGATGAGCTCTGGCTGGCAGCGCTTGTCTGTTGCGCCGACCTGCAGACATACCCTCCTCAGCACCACAGCTGCCTACTCTCCTTTCCTCCTCATCCTCATCCTCTTCCACATCCTCATCCTCATCCTCATCCTCCTCAGAGCTGCTCTCCATGCAGTTGGTGTCAACTCCATGCCTCATTCCCCCATAAAACCGGTCCGATGCGAGCCTTCCTGAAGGCGCAGCCGTGGGATCAGAGGAAGAGCGTGGGTACTGCAGGTGGGCAAGCACGCGGCTCAAGACAGTTGCTAGCGGCGTCCCATGGGAGTCATGCTTGCTGGACGCACTAGGTTGACAGGCTGAGGTGCTGTTGGTAGATTGGTGGTTCCAAGAACCGGTGGCAGCAGCGGCATTTGTTGCAGTGGGGGTGCATGTGCCGCTGCTGCTGCTGCTACAGCTGACGCGGCTGCAGTCGCTATTACTTCCCGGGTCACTGTCACTGTCACAAGGCTTGATACCAGCAGCAGCTCCAGCTCTCTGTGTGCTGCCGTGAGCAACATCAACCCTGACGGCACCACTGCTCCTGGGACCGCTCCTGCTGCCACTGCCACTGCCGCTGCCGCTGCCGCTGCTGCCGCTGTTGCCATTCACGCTCCTTCCAGCCTTCAGGTGCGGAAGGTGGGGCTTTGTAGGTGAGGAAAGATTCTGGGAAGCTGCAGCTTTGCTGTCAGGCGCGTGGATCGAACCAGGAAAAGGTGACCGGCTGGCAAGAGCATCGGCAGAAGCAGCACCAGCAACACCTGTAGGAGCAGCACGAGCAGCAGCAGAAACAGCAGCACCAGGGCCCGAATAATAACCAACACTGGCGGACCGAGGAAAGCAGTCGTTGGTGCGCGGCTGCCGCCCCCCCTGTAGCACGTGTTTGAGCAGCCCTTCCTGGAGCCCTTGGTGGGTTGTCCCAGCGCTGCTGCTGACACTGTGTGCAGCTGCAGCTTGCTCCCACTTGCTCCTGGCGCGCCCACTGATCATGAGCGAACCGCTCCTGCTGCTGCTGATCAGCAGTGTGCTCATTGGCCCTTCCGCAGGACCCAGCCTTGCCCGTGCTGCAGCGGAAGCAGCAGGCGCTGCA